GAGTCTTAGTCTGTTTTTTTTAAGTAAATGTTTTCTTTGCTCTTTAGAAGATTTCTTTAAAAAGAGCAAAAGTCATGAAACATCAACCTTTACAAACAGAACTGCTAAGGCCGGGGGGCGGGGCTCAGAAACCAAAATTAGGCCCAATGGACTCTGACAATACATGGACAGTTAAATCATATTTACAGATATGGCTCTTTCATGAAGAATTTCAAAATATGGCCACTGGAAAAGTACCCCACAAAAAAACTCCTCACCCACTTGAAATCCATCAGTTCTCAGACCAGCATGGAAACCCAGCCATGCGAGCTACACAGTTCTCCAATACTGTGGGTTCCACCAGCACCCCCCATGGAGACTAAGCAGCCCCCTCGCCTGGGACATTTTCCCCTGGAGTTTGTCTTGGCACACAATGAGGAAGCAAAAATGATGACCCAAGGAAAACAGAGAGGACTTCCGGAATACTACTCAGGCTTCAAAGCAAGGCATCAACAAAACTCAAACCACAACCAGACACCCGACGTGTACTGCTTTATATTCTTTCCAGTAAACGAATTTATGGTGAGGGAGACAACGTTCCTATTCTCCTGGGGTTTTTAAAAAACTCTTTTTTATCTTTTGTTTCCAGTCAACCCATGAATACACTTTGACTATTAATCTATGACACAGAGGAAATGTCCAATTCACAAAAGTGGTGTGTTCCAAATCTTTGGGAGTTGGTTGTTTTGGGAACTCAGGATTTATTTTCCTTCAATAAATAACATTATAAATGACGGTGAGGTTTCCAAACCAAACCCACAAAAGCCTTAACTCATAACATTATTGAAGCCCTTTACTTTACGGTAAAAATTAGTAGAAAGCAATTTTGTTGTAGTACTAACAAACAAACCCAAATATTGAAGACATATTCTCCTTTATCCTGAAGTTTATTTAATATAACAACCACTTCAGTGAAAGAAAACAAGGGGAAAGATGGAGACTTTCTAGGGACAGACTTCTGCTTTCAAGAATTTTGGAGGTTGATAGCAACAGTTTGCTATTTTGTCTGCCCACATTTTCCGTCATATAGGCATGATGGGGGAAAGCCAGGATGAGAGTAGATTTGGGGCTTACACAGTAGGATAGCTAAGGATGGGGGAGGAAAAGCAGAAAGTTTAAAAGAGATTTCCTTGAAGAGGCAACTAAAGCAGTTGTTATGAGGAGACCGCATGAATTGATTTGCCAAAGAAATTGAAAAGAGGGCAGGAGACCCCCATATTAGTGCCCCAAGCCCTCGAGTCAGGAAGAGTCCACTCTGTGGTCAGACAGTTCCCTCTCTGACCATAAGGTGGTGCCATCAGCCCAGACAGACAGCCCCAACGGGGCGGAGAGTGCAGTAGGAGGAGCTCTCCACGTGGAAAGTGCAGTAGGAGGAGCTCTCCACGTGGAAGCCACGTTTTCCACTCAGGCTCTGGAATTCACAGTAAGCCTGAACTAGACAGTCCCTATCGGCCTACACATCACTGCCTCGACACCTAAGGGCTGTTTCCATCCTCCACCGCCCCACCTGATCGCACCCGAGCAGGAACACCTCTGTCCTACAGGGCATTGCAACCCACATCAGGATTCAAACGAATTACTTCCCATTCTTCTCTCCAGCCTCCTCCTTCACCACAGCAGCGCTGGGCCTCCCACGTTTCCTAATTCCAAAGGGGAATCTAGTCTAAGAGCATGCTGTCCTCTCAGCTTTAAATACCATCACAATGAAAGAACAAGATCGTCTATGGTGAGCACAGATTTGTCCCAAAGGCCTTGACAACGGGGCCCCAGATGCCCTCACCAGTTATCGCCCACCTTAACACCAAACTGAGAAACCCCTATTCTTTATTTTTTTTAAAGATTTTATTTATTTATTTGACAGAGAGATCACAAGTAGATGGAGAGGCAGGCAGAGAGAGAGAGAGAGGGAAGCAGGCTCCTCGCTGAGCAGAGAGCCCGATGCGGGACTCGATCCCAGGACCCTGAGATCATGACCTGAGCCGAAGGCAGCAGCTTAACCCACTGAGCCACCCAGGCGCCCGAAACCCCTATTCTTGATACAAATCCCACAGAGGGTCCTCCCTACTGTGGTGCCCTCTCACTTTTCCTTACCTATGTTTGTCAATATCTTCTCCTATCTCTCAAAGTCTGACCCAAATATCACAACCCACCCCACTCCAAAAAAAAGAAACTGCTCACTAAGTGTTCAGCTGAATTTAACTAGAGGAAAACATGAGTCCTGAGCACCAACCACAGAAGCCCGGGCAGTTTCATTGTTCCCGCCACTCTCTGGGTCTTAAACTGAGAAGGAGGGCCCAGCCAGCCAGACTCCCTGCTGAACCTTGGGACAACACCCGCTGTCCTGTCCAACACCCGCTGCTCCTCCCAAGTCCCAGTTCCCATCTAGGATGGACTCAGGTCTGGGGAGACACCAAAGCCACAAATTCGGTATGTGGTGCCGTTGTCTGTTCTCCATTCATGTTAGCTTTATAATAATAAAATAATTACTGTCCCCTCCCCACCCTCACTCTCATCAGCCACAATCTGCCAAATGAGGCTAGAGTTCTAGAGCCAGAAGAATGAGGACAGTTATAACGAAGTCACCAGTCGCTCCCCACCTCCCAGCTCTCACCCCAGAGCCAGGGCCTGGGATAGTTGTCCCAGGAAACTGCCTAATAGTTGAGCAGAATTTTCTCAGCCATGTTGGAACTCAACAGGATGGGCATTCCTCTCTGGATGTTTGGCCCCAGCCAGGTGGCCTACAGATGAAGCCTTTAAGAACAAGTACCTGGGCTCACAATACTTCAAAAAATCTAGCCACTACTCTTCCTTCTATAAAGAGGCAGTTGGCTCAGGGGAGAGACAGGAATGTCCCCTGTGAGCCTAGAGCAAATAGCCTCAAGATGAAGATTTGAATAATGCAGGTCCCCTGAGGGCCTCATGACACCAGGTAGTGCCTAACCAAAGGCAGTGAGGAAGTGGGAGCCTGGACACCTACACCTGCCTACCTGTTGGAGCCTTCTGCCAAGTAGACTCTACAGTGTCTGCATCCAGCAAAGGTGGGCATGCTCCTGCCCCTGGACCCCGCCTATTTCTGTTGCTCAGAGAGCCAATTGACCAGATGCCTTTTTTAATGCCGATATTGCTCATGTTCTCACCTACAAGAGGCTTTTTGGGAAAAAAGCCGACACAGGAAATTCAGGGGCTTATGGAGTTCTTGGAGAGGCCAGAATGCCCTTGTTTGTTAATGTTTTGTCTCTTAAGGATCTACACGAGAGTGTTTTTCATAAAGCAATAAAGGAAGCTAAGTTAACTATGCAAACAAAAGCAGGGTGGGAAATGCGAACCACCCATTTTAATGTACTTGTACCCCACCTCCTTCCACAAAGATCTGAGGCTGCAAATAGTAATTGTTGGAATCCTGGGCATGAGCGCTCGGTTTCTTGTCACGGCTGCAGACTCAAACCTTCAAAGTGACCATTTATTGGGGCTCTGAAAGTCGGGCGGGGATGGTGGACTGCCCACTCCGAAGGCGACCTCCCCCCGCCCCCCAGACCCCCGACTCGGGGCGCTCGACGCGCCGTAGAGCTGTGGTCAGCGGCGGCCACCCGGGCCTCCCGCCTCTGCCCTCTCTACGCCCCAGTGCAACCGGGACCCAGATAGGGAAGCTCCGGAGGCCCAACGGGGGCGGCCCGAGGACGACCTGGCCCCCGCGACTCCGCACCCCCTCCCCCAACCGTGTCACATGGCAGCCCCAACGAGGCGCAGCAGTGCGTCCCGCCGCGGAAACCCGGGGCCGCGTCGCCGGGGGCAGTGGGTGATGAAACCTCCCCGGCGCATTACCGCAGAAGGCGCGGGCGGGTAGCGGGGCGGGGGTGGGGGGTGAGAGCTGGTACCCGAGCTCACCTGTTCTCCCGGAGGAGGGTGGGGACGGCGGGGGAGGGGCGAGGGCGGGCCGACCCGGGTGAGTGCGTGCGGCTGGGCTCTCCGCCGCCGCGCTCGCGTCCCCGCCCTCCCCCAGCCGCGCAAGCCCCCAGAGCTGAGCCGTCGGACTGACGGTGCCCAGAGCAGTTCCTTTCCCCGGCCTCGGCGCCGGGGAGACGTGAGCGTGCACACGTACACACACAGTGGGGGAAGAGGCGCTCAGAGCGGCGCCCAACTTTCTCCCTGCTTCCGCGGGCCGGGGGAGAAAGCCGGAGCCATCCAGCCCGGGCGGTGCTTGGGGAGGAAGCTGCAACAAGACGGAAGAGATGGAGAGGATCTCCCCGGGTTTGGTTTGAGGGTTTTGTTTTTTGTTTTTGTTTTTTGCCCATTTCCATCGATAACTGGAGACTAAAGGAAATCCGGAGCCGGGCGGCGAGTAGCGCTTTGGGGAAATGGAAGTGTGTGTCCAATTGGAGACGCGTAAAGTTGCCTTTCAAGCTCTCACCTCCGGGGCAAGCGATGCTCCGCAGCGGGCTGACTCAGGGCGGCTTGGGCCTCCCTGTCACCCGCCTGGAAATGATGCAAGTCCAGTCGGTCACCTGGATCCCTGCAGCCCAGCCCGGAATCCGTCTGGATTGGGGGAGGGGTGAGGAACTGGCACACTAAGTGTTACACGGCCCACCAATTCGGGGCAAAAAAAGGGCGGGGGGATGGGACAGTTGCTCAGGCCAAGCCCTATCTAGTGCTTCTCCTATCTTAGTTCGAAAGGTTTTTGTTTTTTTGTTTTTTTGTTTTGTTTTTTTTTTTCCTTAATGCAAAGCGTCACAAAGCCAGGAATTCCCATCTGTGCTCAGTTTGCCCCTAGCGTCACTGTGCCCAAGAAACTCCAATCTGTCAAGTCTCGGGTCTGGGGAGCTCACTGAATTCCAAACGACAGAAAGAGGAAACTTTCCCGGCAAGATGTGGGTGTGATGCGAGCCAGGGGCCCGGGGGGTGGGAGGTGGAGGTGGGGTACGACGCTGTCCCAGCGCAGACCGTCTCCTCCCGCTCTTTAGCAGCAATCGGAGCTGGTATTGGCTTTTATTTTTTTAAAGTGCGTTCGGCCATTGCCCTGGATCACCCGCACACGCGCACGCGTCTCCGGCCGCGCTCACACACACTCATACACGCACGCAAACGCGTGGCCGGCGCCAGGTCTGCAACTTTGTGGGGCGCTCCCGGCGGAGCTCGGCTTCCTCCTGTAGTAGTTGGGCGCAGGCCCCGCCTCCCAGTCGTGTTGTCAAACGGGCGGGGGTCTCGGATTGGTCCAGCCGCTGGGACAACACCTGCTCGACTCCTTCATTCAAGTGACACCAGAGCTTCCAGGGATATTTGAGGCACCATCCCTGCCATTGCCCGGCACTCGCGGCGCTGCTAACGGCCTGGTCACATGCTCTCCAGAGAGCTACGGGAGGGCGCTGGGTAACCTCTATCCGAGCGGCGGCCGCGAGGAGGAGGGAAAAGGAGAGCAAGGAGGAAGAGTGGGAGGAGGAGGGGAAGCGGCCAAGGAGGAGGAAGAAGAGGAGGAGAGCACAAAGAATCCAGGTCTCCGGGCGGGAGGTTTACACACAGAACCATGTGTTCCGAGCGGCTGGGCCAGTTCGTGACCCTGGCTTTGGTATTGGCCACCTTCGACCCGGCGCGGGGGACCGACGCCACCAACCCGCCAGAGAGTCCCCAAGACAGGGGCTCCCAGCAGAAAGGCCGCCTGTCCCTGCAGAACACAGGTAAGTGCGAGCGCCCCCGCGGCAGGGAGCTGCTGGGAGACAACACGGTGCACCCAAGCAGCGCGCCCCGGGCGCTCTGCCTGGAACTGGGAGCCCATCTAGGGCCGCGCAAACTCTTGGGGTGGCGCGGGACATGCAAAGGAAAGCGCGAGGCTAGGCGAGACGCGGTCCGCGCCAGGCTCCGCGCGCGGGGAATCCGCACGTGCTGGCAGGGTGATGAAATGGCTGGAACAGGACTTGTTGCTGTCCTCCCCGGGGTCGAGGGTAAACGAGGCAGCGCCTGACACGGCCAGTGCCGGCTCGAGAGTTCTCGGTCCGGTGCAAAGCTCCCTGCTCCATCCTGGCCCGCCCGCGGGAGGCAAGGAGGGTCCCCGAAGCCAGCCTGCGCCCTGACCCCGGAGAACTTCTCTTCCCAGCCGACCGGCCGACCGGGACAGGACTGCTTTCCCCCTCCTCAAAAGATGCCCGACATCCAAGAACTTTGTAGGCGAGACCGATTGTATTGTGGACTTCCCCCTCGGGGGCATTGCTTGCCGGGGAGGGGTCGGGGGAGGTGGCGCAAAGCGTACCTCTGAGGTGCTGCCGCCTTCTCCCTCTCCAGGGCAGTCAGCTGGCGAAGAAATGGTGACATGGCCCGACCCGTGCGCGGCTGCTGCTCCATCGGCTCTCCACTCACCCGCAAGCTGCCGAGCGGAGCCAGGCGTGCAGGGCACGGGGCTGGCCCTTTTCCCAGCTCCTGGCAGAGAAAGACAATCTGCCTGGAACTCCTTCACTCGGCGCCCCCCGCCCCCCGCCGCCGCCTTAATTTGGGGGCCTGAGACCCAGCGGCAGCGTGCGTGCGCTCACCGCACGAGCAGGAATGCACGAGTGCCCATTAGGGACGCCCGCAGCGAGTGAATCGCCGCCCTGCGCGCTCCTGCCCGGCGCGTCGGGGCCGCGCGTGGGATCATTCAGGAGTCTCCCACCTCCACGCGCGAGCGCCCGCACCCCCAGCCTGCGCTGGCCTCAGCCTAGGACCGGCGCCCACCCTTCCCCCTCTCCAGCGCTTTCCCTGAGAATTGAACGTGATTCTTGGTAGTTAGTGACCTCCACAAATACACTCCACTCATTCTCTCGGTAGATTTAATCTGAATGCGGATTATCTACTCGGGCCCCGCCCTTCTTCAAAAATATACTTTTCTGATGTAATTTTGTGGTTGGCTTAAATCAGTGAATTGGGTGGGTGGGGGGAGGGACAGAAGAGAATCTCTTGCACGCGACAGCCTGACAGTTAACTCCCTCAGTCTATCCTTTTGGAGAGATGAATTAGGGCAACATTCTGCGAAGGACCGCAGCAAACTCCCGGATCGCGGGAATTTCTAGGGTATTAAGTGATATCTCACACCGGATCTCTATTTAAAAGGAGCCTCTAAGTGCGAAGATTGCGTTTCTGCAGGCTAGCCCCCATTTGGCTCGATTCCTGAGCCTGCTCGCAACCGCAGCTCCCCTAGCCTGGTATTTTTAATGCTGATGGTTTGGAGGCGCTGCCTTAATAGGAATTTTGTTTTGATTTTTAGGTGTTGAATCATAAAGCTGAATTGAAACTGCTTTTTGGACGCTCGCATTTGGGGTCAGGAAGGAAATGGCTGTGATTTAACAGCAGCGGCTTTGAGTTCCAAGTAGAGAAGGGTATTTCATTGATGAAGTACAGAAGGGAGAGAGCAAGCGAATCATTTAAAATCTTCCTTGTGTCTGTGGGTTTGGAAAGCTGAAATTGCTTTTGCTTTCAAACTAATATATTTTTTAAGGATTTTATTCATTTATTTGATGGACAGATCACAAGCAAGCAGAGAGGCAGGCAGAGAGAGAGAGAGAGGAAGGGAAGCAGGCTCCCTGCTGAGCAGAGAGCCCCATATGGGACTCCATCCCAGGACCCTGGGATCATGACCTGAGCCGAAGGCTTTAACCCAGGCACCCTCAAACTAAGTATTTTCACAAAGACTTGAAGACCATGGAAAGGATAAAAAATGGAGTGCTCAGACCTAACTTCTGATTGTGATCTTTGTAACATAGGTTTGGCTGATTTTTTACAGATACAGCATTTACAAATAATGACACTTTCATAAGGACATTAAGCAATGGCATTTCCTTGCCCAGCTTTTTAGATCCTGAAATAGTCATTTCTAACTTTATCTTCTTAAATTTTCTTGTAGTCATTACTAGCTTGTATTTCAGCCGACCTCTCTGCATTCCCCAGCATGGCTGAGAATTTTGTATATATTTGTATGTCATTCTCATTTTAGCGGAAATTCAACACTGTTTGGTCAACGCTGGCGATGTGGGGTGTGGTGTGTTTGAATGTTTCGAGAACAACTCTTGTGAGATTCGAGGCTTACATGGGATTTGCATGACTTTTCTGCACAACGCTGGAAAATTTGATGCCCAGGTAAAAACCACATAGAGCACAAAATGTTTTAGGTTGGCATTGCATGATTGAAGTGTTCATTGGAAGGACTTGTGAACGGGTCTCCTTAGCTGATCTTTAGGGTGTTTTTTAGCGTTTGCAAGAACCATTCTTGGTGAAGAGCAGGGTGACAGTTTCTTCCCACATCACTCATGGGGTTCTGTTCCCAGAACTGTCATGGAGTAGGTGAAGTCCTTCTCCACCCTTAAGCTGTGTCTACACAGGCAAAGTGGTATGGAGAGCAAGTTGAACAATCATCTAAGCATTCTTAACAGAGAACACAAAAGGCAGAACAAATAATAAACATCTTGTAAGGGGACACACTATGTCTGGCCACCCAAAACTCAGTCTGCAAGGCCCATCACATTAGAAACAGGTTTGTGGGGGGGAGGACAGGGCCTCCAATTATACATTCCAAGACCTGTTTTCACCTACTTGGGGAGAATAAATGAGACACAAACTTCAGAGAAACTCATCATCTCCAATGGGTGTGTGAGCAGGTAACAGGGATAATTCAGGGCTTCCAGAATAACAGACTTCTTCCTCCTAAGTAGCAGACCCTCCTCACCCAACCCAAAAACCCCAAATGAGTCCTGCTCTATGGAGTCCTCTAACAAGGCATGACCTACTCCAGCTATCCCAGAGTAGCCAGGGTGAAAAAAAAAGCCTAGTGGTGGCTTGGGGTAGGGCAAGAACCTGGCAAGCCACCCTATGGTTCCAGTGCTAACAACCCAAATACATTTCAGGTGGCAGGTGGCATCAGGCTCACCTTCTCCATGTTCTCCCCAGCCCATATGTGCGCTACAAAGCCCCCTGTTGTTCTATCTCACCAACCTCTTCTCCCCTACAATTGGAGAGTGGGGACAACATTTGAAGAAGGCCAACAGTTACAGTGTGACTTACGAATGCCACCCGCCACCATCTACTGACATGCTGTAGAGAGCCTGACAAAGCAATGCCTGGGAACCAGAAAGGGATTCGAGAGGGCTGGGAGCCTACACAGCAGAGGATGTGGGGTGGCAGGGGGTGGGAAACAGAGACCAGGGAAGGAAAGAGTAGAACGTCTGAACTCCTCAAGGCTCCCTAATAGAGCATCCCTTCTGGATTAACTGGAATTAGGAAACGTAATAGGAAATCCGGGGGAAAGATATGTATTTAAGGGCGATCCCACAGGATGTCAGGGAAGAATACCAAAACAGATTGCCGCAGCCCTCAAATACATTAATCTTCCTTTTTCTCTCAACCAAGAGGAGTATGCTCTCAAGTGAGAAGCATCCCTTTCAAGCTGGTCCCCAGCATGTGACTTCTCCATGAACTGACACACCCCACCCTCCATCTTCTTTGGCTCCCGCTGGAAAGTCAGAGCAAAAGGGGCCACGGGGAGGGGCTTTTTCAGCAACCGGACACTATATGTAGACATTTCGGTTGCTTCTAAAGGAAGAACTGAATTAAATGTGCTGGCTGGCTTCCCACTTCCAACCTAAACCTGTTCTCTTTCTCTACTCAGTTACTTCCAGGCCTGTCTAAAACAGAGGGGTGCCCTCTCCAATGACAGCTTGTTTCTATAGTAATGGGGAGTGGGGATCCCTAGGTAGGTATCCCACAATGCCTCCCCGCCCTGAGAGGCTGATAAGGGAGTTCATGCCCCAGCCTGCCTCCGCACCCCCAACAGCTGTCTCCTTTCTAGGATAAGAACAATCTCATGGGGTTGCCAGGAAAGAGAACTGGGGCCCAGATGTATGCCTGGCTGCCTTAGCCACTCAGAGGCAGGGATTGTGGGGGAGGGGCTGTCAGTTGGGCAGTTCAGACTCCAGATGCTGCCAGGCAGAGTGCCAGGCGTGCCTTTTAGAGGCAATAATCCTAACAGTTTCAAAAAGGAAAAGAATGCTCCTCCTTGAAGGATAGGAGGAGACATGAGTATGGGTTGGGGGCCATGGGAGGCACTGAGGCACAGATAGCACCCAATTTCAATGTCCCTCGTGGGGTTGGAGGAAAACGCAATGATGTGAGACTTAGATCAGCAGGCACCTTCTCCTTGGGAAATGCTCTTGCTGGGAGTTTGGGATTTATGTCTGGCCACATTCCCCTTGGGTTCCAGAAAGTTTGCCCCCAAGCAGCCAACCCTGGGCTGCCTAGAGGACAGACGGCCACAGAAGCCCCAGAATGAGGGAAATTAGTAGAGCAGCTGGGAGGAAGGAGGCAAATTTGTTAGTCTCCCAAAGTAACATCCTTTTTGGCCAAATGCCAGAGGTGTACTGTCACTCCAGACATACCTCCTGACGGTCATCAGCCTGTCGCCTGCATGGACATCAGTCTGAGGCAGGACCTTGGGGTTCAGTTGTCCAACAAAAATCCCGTGCGAGGCCAAGAAGTGTGACTGGCAAGCTTCTGACAAGGACTTGTCTCTTCTGCCCCTCTCTCTCTTCTCTGTCCTCTCTGTTCTCAGGGCAAGTCATTCATCAAAGATGCCTTGAAGTGTAAGGCCCATGCTTTGCGGCACAGGTTCGGCTGCATAAGCCGGAAGTGCCCTGCCATTAAGGAAATGGTGTTCCAGTTACAGCGGGAATGCTACCTCAAACACGACCTGTGCTCTGCCGCCCAGGAGAACACGCGGGTGATGGTGGAGATGATTCACTTCAAGGACTTACTGCTGCATGAGTGAGTGCCGCCCCACAGGGGCCGTGGGAAGGAGGGGGCCCGCTCCTCAGGCTGGTGTGGAGGACTTTGAGGGGCCTGTGTCTGGAGGCCGACCTCCCACCAAATGGGAAAGGTTGCACTCTACCTCAGAAAGCTGCGTGGACTCCCCTGGGAGGCCCTTTCCTGCTGGCCTTCAAGAAAAGTGAAAGAAATGTCCACCATTGGTTTCAAAAGCATGAGCCATAGAAACAGAAAATATTGTACTAAGCGAGAGATGTGTAGGCTTCAGAAATACGCTTCCCCTTCCCCTCAGCGCAGATCCCGACAGTTCTGAGTATTCCAAGCGGCTGCACAGGTGCCCCAGCAGACAGCCAAGAGCCCATCACAGCGGCTGAGCCTTTACTAAGTGCCACGCATTGTGCTCAGTGGTTTTCGGGAATCTTTCCCCAGATCCTCACGGCAGCCCTGGGAGCAAGGTACCGTTCTCCTCTCCATTTTACAGATCAGAAAGCTGAGATTCACTAGAGTAAAGGTCATACAGAGACTGAGAGGCAAAGCCAGGTCATCCAGCTCCGGAGGCTTCAATGCCAAGAACTGAGAGCAATAGCCCTTTTTCCTGCCCCCATGGCCTTCATTTCCCTCAGAAGGTCCAGTTCACCTTCTCTAATACATTGATTCCCTCCCAGAGAAAACACAAGACCCATGTCAAGAACTTGAATCAGCTAAACACATTTTTGCCAAAGTGGGTAAATATGAACTTGCTTATTCAAAGACTTGCAATTCAGTAATAAACCCCAGAAATGTTATTCCTTAAGGAAAAAAAAAATTCCCATCTGTAGGATCCTAAACTTTGCAAAGTGAGAGAGCATGTGGTACCCAGGTGCTCCTGACATGCAGCCTGGGCAGTAGGTCACAATGGCTTCTTCCTCAGAGACTGAGGGCAGAAAGCAGGCCACTTGCTAAGCAGAGCAAAACGAGTCACATCCAGCTTGATGGCACCATTGGTCTTTACACAGTGGCTCACGGAGCCAAATCAGTACAATTTTATGATCTCTTGCTTCTCAGTTGGTGCCATGGCCTTCCCCCAGCTATGCCACCAAGCAGGCGACTCCCCACCCCACGCACACACTGCTTAGATCATAGAGGACAGCAGCCATCACCCACCAGTTTCCAGCGGGTTAGGAGGGTCTGGGTATCTTGCAACGCGCCCAGTGCCCTTTTAGAATTCGAAGATTTACCATGAATCTCTGCCAGCAGCTCTTGCCAAGAGCAAAGTGATATTGTCTTCTCCTTAGTCACACTGACACCCTATGAAATAGTTATCACTCTTCCAAATACCTGTAAAGACACAGAGCAACAACATCTTCAACAACAACAATAATGATAATCGCTATCATTGTGTGAGTGGGCAAGGGACTTGACCTGGACGGTCTCATTTATCGTTCCCAACAGGGCGGCCTGGTGGAGATTACTCTCTCCACCTAACAGAAGAGGAGAGGGCAGCTAAGAGGTTCAAGATCTGACTCTGAGGTTTGATCCCCACTATCCAGCTTGGGAACTGGCAGTACCTACAACTCAAGCCGATTATCAGGAATAGACATGGGACCTCCTAGCTCCTGACCTGCTCTCTCCATACTGGACCTGTGAAAGACTCATGGGCTCCCAGATGTAGCAGGGGGTTCTTCCCTTTTCTCAGTTATACCCCCATTATATAAGGAGAGCGCTGTAAAGGTCCCTTCCTTCAAGCTGCCCCTGGAAAGAGGCAAATGCCCCATGGCTAAGAGACTCCCAAAGCTCCTTTGTCCTCAGTCCGCTGTCATCCACTATAGCTTCTTGGCCTCAAGGATGGAGGAAGGGAATGAGCTTATACATCAGTAAGACATTCCTGGAGTGCAACAAGACTTTGTCTTTTCTAAGATTGGAGAAAAGTCTTCTTTGGGAAAACCAAAGGTTTTGAAGGGTTTTTTTGCTCCCTCTGGAATTTAAGAAGGGGTAAAGTGCTGTGGCTTCTCTGGTACCTCCTCTGTGGAAACATGGCCCATGGGGCCATGAGATTTTTACTTCTCAGGGGCTCTTCATATTATTTAGAATGAACACATAGCCCTCCACCCCAGCCCACTCTGGGAATGCAGGTGACTCACCCCATAAGTTAGGCTGGGCCTCTTTTAAGAACACTCACTGCCTGCACACAAGTCCTCTTTCCTCTCGCTAAGCCAGTGTATCCAGGCAGCGGGTCTCACCGAACCCCAGCTACCCCCAGCACCCCACTACCTTCCTTCTGAAGCCATGACTATGGGGTGCGTCAGCTCAACTTCAAGCTGAACGATGGTGTTGTCCTTTAACTGTCTTCACTGATTTGGGCACAAAGGATCCCATCAGTCCCCAGATATCAAGAAGGCCATTTAAGAATGCGTGGCATTGGTCTCAGATAAGAAAATGAGAACTGAATTTTCTTTTCCCTTTAGAGAAGAGGAAGTCACAGTCACTCCAGAATCCACATCACCCCCATTCCTCAACCCAATCCCTATCCATCCCCAAAACACTCATGTCTGCTTAAAGTGGCTCCCTTCAAGCTCTCCGCTTCCCTCTGTTCCTCTCACCCCTTCCTGCCCCACTTTCTCCATATCAACTGCCTTGGCCACCACACACCCTGTCACTGGGTGCTGGCAGCCTCCAGGCACGTCCCCCTCCAAGTATTTTTAAAAATCCTTTAGCCTTGCTGACACCCAGTTGAGAAAGCTGGGCTTTGTCATTAGACACGGGCTGAGCTTGCAGCCTGAGAAGGCACCATGCCAGCTCAAAACACGGCTTAGATTAACACACACCCCTCCCCATGGCTCACAGCTTTCTCCTCGGGAGCGAGCGCCAAAGGCAGGAGAGAGCGTTCGCTAGTCCAGCCTTCTCGGATCCGCCTTGGGGTTCTGAGAGCTCATCTGCAGGCAGACTGCCCTGGCAAAGGAGGCCAGGAGGCAGTCCGTACATTCCCAAGAGAGCCCTCCCCTTACTCTGGGGAAAGAAAACTGGAAGAAGATCACTGGGCTGGTCCCAAAAAGACAGATTCTCAGCCCCCGCAATTTGCTCCTGTTGCCCCAGAGAGGGGCAGGTACAAATCAGACACTGAAATCCTGACGCTGCTGTAGCAGATATGCTCCGTGACCTTGAGCTCCCTGAGGCAGTCGGTTGCTAGTTGTCAAAAGATAGAAGAAAGCAAATATGCGTGCAGCATTGCTTCTGTGTTGCCCCATGGCCCCCTCTCGCAGCCCGAGAAGAGGAGTGTTATCACTGTCCTTGTCACTGTTAGGGGCCTGCCTTAGAGAGTTGAAGCACCCTGTCCATCAGCCATGCACAGACTCTCTGACTCCAAAGGCATCAAGTAGGCCTTAAAAGGCAGCTTGATCTCTATCAGCCGGAACATTCCTCTTCTCTGCTCTCAGCCCAGCTCTAGGCCTTCCCAGCCCAGAAGCTTCCAAAAACTGACTTTCTCCTCTCCCCCGCCCTCCCCCCACCACCAGCCATCTCCATTTTTACATCTATGACATGAGGACAGTTCAACTACAACTTGAGGACTAATTCATAAAAATGGCAGGGAACTACTTCACAAGTCCTAAAACACAATCTGCTCTTCTGCCTAGCAACTGCCAGCTTGTAAAGAGAAGATGAAGTAGGCTAACAGGCAGCCACCCAGGTGGTCCTGGCTCACAGAGGAAAAAAGTCTTGTTCCTCATAAGTGATCTCACGTTCCAGAGTGATTGCCCTGCCCGAGGCGATGGCCCAGAGCTGCAGTGCTCATGGGCCGAGATACCCAGAAACTTTGCTGGCCAAGGACTGCTAAAGAATGCTGGTTAGCCCCGTGAAACATTCTATACCCTCCCTGGGGATTTTGGAAGGCCAGTGAGATGTGAGAAGGGCTCAGTGAGTGGGCTATGAGAGCCCCTTGTGGGGGACACCTCTTACCAGATGGGCCCGTAAAGAGCAGGCACGCTGTTCCCGTCCGCGGCACACACCTCCCACCCTTGTGTCGGCATGATGTGCTCATTCTTCCTCCAGCATTTTTCCCAAAGAACAACCCAGGGCAGCTGGATGGCCTGAGCCAGAACCAAATGTGCGTATTTCACAGATTGCCGGCCCTCATCTCAACACCTACGCCCCTTGTGGCCAGCCCTCACCTCCAGTTCTAGCCAAGCCAGACTGGAAGAACAGAGATGCCTAGATAGCCACTCCCTGTCTTCGAACTTTAGTACCAGGAATGGGGGAGAGCTCCATGGGAAGTGACTTTGCAGGGCCGTGGTCTGCCTCCCACCCTTCTCCACTGAGTACAGAGGGAAGTGCATCCAGGACCTTCCAGAAACACCCTTCATCAGGAGCCTAAAGCAGGGGCAAACACAGACATGGGAAAATGGCTTCTGGGGAGCCTCACTTAGAGAAGATTGACCCGGGAGAGTGGCACCAAGTGCAAAGCCAGCCAGCCCCACTGACACCACGTGGCAAGAGGGCGATGTGGAGCTCTGCAGCCCCAAATCTTTGATGGCTCCTCCTCCCCTGCCAAAGAGAGCCCTCAGTTAGGTAGCTCCAATCCTTCACCATTTGCCTCTTATTCCACTGGCCCCAAGACACTTCTCTACTCCTCCCACTGAAACCCTCCTAGCTGGCACACGGGAAACATGCCCAGAGCTCTCCTACAGTCCTTTTCAACACTCACACAGCCGCCCTACCTGGCATTCTCCCCCGCCTTCCCCAGAGTCACTATGCACCTGCAAATTGTCACTGGCCGTTTTCCTGGTGGTAGCAGGCTCAGGCACCAGCCTGTCTCCAGTCCCCAGCAAGGAGCCTGGGAGGTAATGGCCATCTAGGAAATAGCGGCCGAGGCCAGCACTCCTTAGGAGATGGATAAAGACCTGAAGTAATTCCTGAAATCTCTTTCACCAAACTAAGGCCTCAGCCATATGTCCCTTGTGCCTGGTACCCTCAATGTCCTCTGTGGCCCGTTCAGGACTGGTTCCATTCTCTCTCTTTCTCTCTCTGCTCTCCGTCTCCAGACCGTACGTGGACCTGGTGAACCTGCTGCTGACGTGCGGGGAAGAGGTGAAGGAGGCCGTCACCCACAGCGTGCAGGCACAGTGCGAGCAGAACTGGGGAGGCCTGTGCTCCATCTTGAGCTTCTGTACCTCGGCCATCCAGAGGCCCCCCACGGTGTCCCCTGAGCGTCTGCTCCAGGCAGACAGAGCCAAGCTCTCCAGGGCCCGCCACGGGGAGGCAGATCAGCCCCTCTCAGGGCCCAGCAGTCGGGAGACCGGCAGAGGTGCCAAGGGAGAGCAAGGTAGCAAAAGCCACCCAAACACCCATGCCCAGGGCCGAGCCGCCAGCCATGGGGGCCAGGGGACTTCTGGAAGCAGCGAGTGGGAGGAGGCACAGTCTGAGTATTCCAACATCCGGAGGTGAAACGGAAGGCCTGGCCGGGAAACCTTTCCTCCATGCCGTCCATTTTCTTCTCTATGGACATTCCAAAACATTTGCCATTAAAGAGGGGGGATGTCTACACGCAGGATTTGGTGGGGATTGCGGACTTGATGCAGGTGTGTGCTAGCGGAACGAACAGGTGAGGCAGAGGCGACCTGGGCAGCAGCGAGGTCTCAGCTGGGCCCGCGGAGGGTTCCCAGACTTGCACATCCCTAAGCGAGCGTGCACGCGGCCTCCGTGCAACTTTGTCTTCTTTCCATCCGTGGAGCCTCTGGGCGGCGGCCCGCGGTGTGCTCTGCTGTGGGGGAGTTGGGCCGGGGAAGGGCAGGGGTCAGACTGGACCGCACACTCGGTGCTGGGCTCCAGGCCCGCAGCTTCTGGTGCTGTCTTGGCAGAGGGCAGGCTGGATCCGGGTGCAGCAGTGAATGTGAAACCCGCCCTGGGAGTCAGAAGGGTGGAAAGGAGATGGGGGCTGCGTGGATGCTTGGTGCCAAATGGAAGTTCAGTTTCTTGCATGGGACCTTGAGGTTTGGAGCTGCTGGGGATGGGGAGGGCAAGGGTTCTAAGTGTAATTTCTGAGCCATTGTTCCGTCTGGGGGAACCATGTCCGAGGGAGTGGTCCCTGTGTGTCTGTATATTAACCACTGCTTCGAATCTCTATTTCACTTTTTTATTTATCCACTTACATCTACATACCTGTCGTCTAAATAAATGGCTTTTGAACAAAGCAACTGGGTCATTAAAACCAGCTCAAAGGAAAAAGAAATACAGCCCATCTTTTGGGGATGATTTTTTTTTTCTTTTGAGTGCTCTTTTAAAAGGAATCAAAGAGCGATGTAGCCATGTGTCTGCCTGCCCAGCGTGGGCTCGCAGCCACTCAGAGCAAACCACATCTCTGGAGGAAAATGCACACGTGAGAAGTACATTTGACAGATTTTTTTTCCTTAGCATTTGGTTACCCCACCTTGACCCTCAGCCAAGATCGATAAAGCCTTGTACCTGATGCCTTGAGGCCAAGTCGGAAATAGGGCTTCTCGGTGTGCAGGACGGAAAGGGGGGGAAGAGAGCAGAGGGGGCTGTGGTTTCTAGCAGGGAAGGCTGACCTTTTACATAAATGGAGGAGACCGCCAGGAAGCACTGAGGGACAGGATTTTCCAGATCCGGACTGGGAATGTAACAATGAAGAAAGCAGTCCGAGTGGACAAAATAAAGGCAGAGAGGAGGGACAGAGCTAAAAATCCAAGGCAAGGAGCGGGGAGTGGGAAGAGGACTGTAACAAAGGGTCAGCAGAATGGGGTTCTTGGGGTTGTTCAAAACGTTCCACAGATAGGCCTTTTCTTTCTTGCCTACTGAGTTATCAATATTAAAGCTTCTCTCTCGCAGCTAGTACTCAAACAGGAGGCCAGGATTACAAGATGTAGACAGGTGATCTGGGCCAGTTCCTTCTAGAGCAGTGGTCAGCAAACTTTTTCTGTAAAGGTCCAGAGAGTAAATTACACTGTTTTTCATTTGGCGGGTCATGCAGTTTCTGTCCCAAGTACTCCCCTCTGTCACTGTGGCCGAAAAGCAGGCATATATAACACAACATGTCACCAACAGGCCTGGCTCTGCTCCAGTAAGATTGCATTTAACAGGTGCCCACCTGGATCTGGCTCTTGGGCCCGAGTTTTGGGACCCCCATTCTAGTGAGCTGGCAAAAAAGTATGCACCCTCCATTTGATCAGCTTATAGCTCTCCCTCGAAGCGACCCAAGGCCAGAGATAAAGAAGCTAAATTTATCTGCTCTAATTTGTTCCAGGGAATGCCCTTACCCAAAACCCGGCTAGTGTTTTTATTACCCCAAACCCAAGCTCATCAGTGCCAGGACATGCTGCTGCTGGAAGGTCAGCTCCCCAATCTTCCATGATCCAGGTTAGAAAGAAACCATTTGGGTGTGGGGGGGGAGTGGGGAGGGGACAAAATGCTGGGAGAAGCACCTAAAAAGAGAGCTGCAGAAAGCAAGAGAGATGGTGCGCTTAATCCCACTCTGCCCTCGGGGGAAGGAGGACGGGTGTGTCAGGCTCTGCCATGGGAACCGAACGTAAACCGTGGCTGTCTCATGCCATGGACCACTGCAGCACGTTACTGTTTTACTTACATCACTCAAAAGCTGAAGCAATAACATTCTCCCGCGTTGCTGGGTCAGCTGTTCATTTGTTCACCGGCTCCTGGGCTGGATGTGTGAAAGGCATCACTTTTATATTTTCCTCAGTGTAAATGTCTTATGTGTTCACCTACTGATGTCCCATTTGTTGCTTCTATTGTAAATATTTGTCATTTGTATTTATTATTTCAAGTGTTTTCCCCCAAGGCATAAAATGGCTTACTGTGTTCATTTGAACCCTGTCACTGATCTCTGTTGTCTATTTTTCATACCACTAGTGTGTTGCTTCTCAAAAGTCAGGTAGCTCTCATTTCATTCTGGTTCTTAACGTTTTTGAAGCATACAATAGTATTTATCGTGAAGGTTCTTTGGCTCAAAACGGAATAAAGTCCAAATTCCTACAAGAGTTGACACGGCATTTGTACAATCTAAAATGTAAGCAAAGTAGTCATTAAAAATAGACACGCAACTTGGGCTTCATACTTCGTACGAATTGACTCTTGAGCCTTCCTTTAAGGAAGGATGTGGATTTCCAAATAAAGATACGGCGTTTATTTTGAGCTTTGCATCTTAACAAGATGATCTGAACACCTCTCCTTTGTATCAATAAATAGCCCTGTTGTTCTGAAAGGAGAGGACCTAGTACAGCAAAATGCTGGCACCTGAAACCAAATAAATAGCAAACAACAGCCCAGAGCTGTAGTCATACTTAGACATGCACACACACACACACACACACACACACACATGCACACGCGCATACACACACACAGAGACATTTAAGCTTGAACCAAGTAAAAGGCTTTGCTAGAACAATATGGAAAAACAATGCTACCGGAGCCCATTTCCTAAGGAAGGACAACCTCGTCTGGTCTCAGAATTGGCACCACGTGAGCTTGTTAAGTAATAATGTCTGTTTCTGTTATGGATTTAGACAGCAGGACCTGAACGTTGTCACATTGCATTATTTTTCTCCATTCATTAATAAAGATTTCAAATAAATGGCTTTCCCTTGAGTAGCATTGTTATCTGAGAGCGCTTTGGACAAACCAGTGCATAGGGGGAATGGCTGTGCGCAAGTGAGTTTTGAGTCCATTTAAAATGCCAGATGCTTGGTTTACAGGAAGGGAAACCAGGTGAAGACAACCCTCCTGGGTTTCTCCTCCACTGGAGGGACTCTGTCCAAAACACTGCCTGAGTCACCAAGACACAGAGGTAAACGAACTCCATGCAGCCTGCCTGGGGGCACCAGCCCCCCAACCATTAGGGACATCCTCGAAGCTCCCTCTGGTCTCACCTGTGAGACCCTGGTCTCCCCTGCGGCCTGGCCACCCTTTCTTGCAGACTGAGTTTGTGGCCGATGCCACCAGCATGACAGCCCAGCGGTCTGGTGCCAGCAGGGAAGCTCCTGCCTCCTCCACAGTTCAGCCTCACCACAGCGAAACAGAGCTGGAGTCCCCGTTTCCCACAGTGCACCCACCACGCACCAGGTGTTCAGCCACACATTTCACATACATCATCTCACCCCGACTACACCCTATAAGTAGCGGGTATCATCCCCATTTTACAGGCAAAGAAACCGAGATAGGGAAAGCTAAAGCAGCTGGACCCAAACCAAACCCTGGCTAGTGAATGGGGTTGGCGGGGGGGCAGTGGGGATCTGAAACCAAACCCAGCTCTGCGACTCTAAGCCCCCCTGCTTTCCCCCACATCGGCCTTAGAATCTCCACATTTGATTTATTCTTGATTTAAGCCAATGAGTATTATTCCCATTTTACATGAGGCTCAGAGAAAGAATAATTATACTCTTATATTTATAGCACCTCCGAGGAGCTCTGCTTTAGAACAGAAAGGAAAATTGTTGCCCTCACCTTTCCTCTCAGCAAAGGCTCAAATTTTGGTTCAGATAAGGGAAAGCAGAAGAATCATGGAGTCTCATCACTTTTCTGTGCATGTAGATAATTTTTTTTAAGATTTTATTTATGTATTTGACAGGCAGAGATCACAAGTAGGCAGAGAGGCAGGCAGAGAGAAAGGGGGAAGCAGGCTCCCCGCGGAGCAGAGAGCCCGATGCAGGGCTCCATCCCAGGACCCTAGGATCATGACCTGAGCTGAAGGCAGAGGCTTTAACCCACTGAGCCACCCAGGCGCCCCAAATGTAGGTAATTTTTTGGAGGTTCTTGGGCGCAGCTGCAGGAAACTTTGGGGAGCAGCTGGCTTTTGTGAATTTGTGGCTAGAGTTCTTTCTGCTAAGCCCACCCAGTCGCCAGCTCTGTCTGAGAAGCCAGGCTCCCTTGAAATCATCACCGCCATCATCACCCTCCTCATGACACCTGCAGTTTCTTGTGAATCTAGTTTCGTGTGCTCCCCATGTGTTCTACCGGCACTATTCGGAACCCCATTTTGCACATGGGGAAACTGAGGCTCAAAGGTATCTTAATATGCCTGGAGCTCATCCAAGGCCAGCAAGCTCTAGAGGTGGCATGCCAACCCATCCCAGGGCTCACTCTGCTCAGTTTAACTTGCAGTGTCTCCGCCCAGGTGTGAAAAGGTGGGTGAAACACACCACATTCAAACATGGCAGCTGGCTCCCTGCCCCCAGCCCTCGGGCCAGCTCCAATCCATCAGTCCAGAAATTATTAGACTGTGGGAGGAAGAAGGCAGAAGGGTTTCCAAGTATGCTGGTATTTAAGCAAAGTTTCCAAAGGAAGCTGGAGCTGCGCACCCCAAAATCTGGAGACAGAAATCTGAATTTGTTCTAAAGTCAACAAAAGAGAAAGCCCCCTGCCGAGGAGGGGACAAGCCTTGGCCAGAGCACAGGTTTCATGTGAAATTATTTTTTGTGGGCGGAGAAGAGAAGAAAAGAGCAACAGAAGCCTTGGGCTAGGAGTCATGCATTGCCGCTTGCATAAGCGACTCAGTTGTTTTCACTCCCCAAAAAGAACACACACACACAAAGTCACTCCCTGAAGAGAACAAAAAAAAAAAAAAAAAAAAAAAAAACACACACAAAGCCAACCTAAGCTTATGCATGAAATTGGCCCACCAGGATAAACCCTGATGCTTGCTCAACAGAACCCAAGCCTCGTGGCTCCTGAGGGCATGCGGCCCCCCAGCCACCGTGTACCAGCAAGTCTGCCCAGGTGAACAAAAACTGGGAGGGACAAGAAGAGCTCCCCCCAGGAGTGCTCAGAGGCAGGGCAATCATTCATCAGGTGCAGAGGAGAAGCAGCTGGTTCCATTTCTCTTTAGTTGGTTCCCAGGACTTTTTATGGTTCTTCAAGTTAAGGAGAGTGCCCACGTAACAAAAAAAGCGGCCTGCTAACAAGGACGGCGACCGTCCGCCTGCTGGCCTTCCCGAGTCAGCAAAGGACCAAGGGTGCCCAAGATGGCTTTGTGCAGGATAGATGATCAGGACCTAGAATTCTGCCCTAGTGGTTGACGGCTATGTCGACAAGTTACCTCCAAAACAGAGCAAATTAAAACCATCACTTTTTTTGCTCCCCGTTTTGTGGGTCAGAAATTTAGAAAGGGCCCAGTCAGGTGGTCAGTTTCTTATCCACATGGCATCCGCTGGGGCAAGCAGGGCTGGAGGGTCCCCTTCCCTGGTGGCCCCGTCAGAATGGTGGCTCAGGGGCTCCTGGCCTCCCTCTCTTGAATTTCCATTGGGGCCCTCATCCCCCAGGTCTTCTCAAAGCAGGGCTCTGTCAGGGTGACAGACACGGACGGGCTGCCATAAGAGAATTTAGAGAACGTTGCGGTACTCTCTTCAAACCCAAGCTAGGATTTTTATTTCATCCTTGGTTTTGTAACAACCCTGGGATCCAAATGCCATGAGAGATGAGCCCATGTCACTTGTACAAAATTTCATGTCTGCCCAGCAGCCAGCCATTGCACAGAGTGAATGAATGAATGAATGAATGAATGAATGTCTAAAAGAGTGCCAAGCTGTCAAATCAGATAAAATTCAACACACTTCTAAAGTAAATATGACCTTCTCTCCTTGTGAGGGGCACCCACATGTCATAGAATCCGTGAGCGGGCATCAAAATTGGAAAATCCCTGAGAAGACTGTAATTTTGGAATCAGGAGACATAAGAATACCAATCTTCCCTTTCTTGCACTAGGTAAATCCCTCTCTCTCTCTCTCTCTCTCTCTTTTTTAATAACAACTGAGAAACATAAATCAGGACTGGCCCTGGGATTTTGGTAAATCAGTTAAACTTTCTTCAGCCACAAAATAAGGAAACTAACAGCTCGCCTGCTTCCCTCACAGGGGTCAGTGAGGACAAAGTATCTGGAGCTGTATGAGGGTCACGATACATAGGAAATGCTTTGAAGACCATGACCTGTCCTGCAGACGGTGGGTATAATTTTAACTACATTTGGGAAAGCTCCACCTGCTACCACCAAGAGTCCAGATGAGATGAGCTACCAACCTCTCCACTGTCCTGGTGGCTCTCAGGCAGCTACAACGCCTTTCATGGCCAGGATTGGGGACCGGGGGTGGGGAGGGCAGCTTTGCAGGGTGGGAACCTGCCTGAGCCAGGCACGAGAGCCCAAGGCCAACCAGCAACCAGGTGGGGACCCTGAGCAAAGCACAGCCTCTCCCTAGATGTGACGGTGGCCGAAAAGCAGCTTCACCTCCTCCCAGACGTGAGTTCCCAGGGGAGCTCCGAAGGGCATGCTCAGCCAGACAGGGGCAGGACCAGGCTAGGGGAGTGGAGGCCTTCCTGCCAGGCTCTGTCTGCAAACCTCAAGGCAAGGTACCCACAAAAAAGCCAGCTCATAAACCTCCTTAATGAGAAAGGAAAGCAGAGGCTGACAGAGATGAGGGAGACAGAAGATTCAGGGCCAGAGCCCACTCCGCTCTCCTCCGTGCCAAGGCTCCTGAGACTTTGACATTTGGAAAAGATCTGGCCTGGTGGAGCCAAGGAGTTGGGACAGGGCTCCTTCCGGCTCCCGGGAGTGTCAAGAAGAAGAGAAGGAGGAGGAGGAAAATGACTCAGCTGAAATGAAGAGAAATGTATTTTTAAAAAGCGAAACGATGAAAGACACAAAGAAACAAAATGGAGCCCCAGGATGGGGTCCAAATGCCTTCTCAGGGTAAGTGGGGCGGATCTGCAGAAAAGCTCGAAAGCTCACTAGGGTTTCTAAACCGAGAATAATGCCACAAAAATGAAGAGAGTCCTTGGGGCCGGCCAGGTCTGTGGTCCCCAGGGGCTGGTGCCCACCTCTTCAGGAGAGAT